CGGAGGTCACCGGTGACCCCCATGGCGTTTAACGTGTTAAGCTTCTTCCTTTATACGATAATACAGTTCAATGCGTCTATCTTTTTTAATAAACCTCAAAATATTTTATCCATTGAGTGCCGACGTAAGGCTCACTATTCCCGGGCGAAAATATTGGGACGCCAATGCACCACAGATGGGGCTCTACAGCCTCACCCAGGGCGAGAGAAGCGATTTTATGATTACAAAACAACGGAAGACATTTAAGTTTTAAGTAAATTATGTTGAGAATTTCGTCTTTCCTATAGCGTTACACAGAGATAAAAAAAAAACAAAATACCCGACTGCACACTAAAAAAAGAGTAAAACAAGCCCCACAATACAAATTTACTGAATATAATTTATAAATGTTGATGGAAAGCATCGCAGGCGGGGACCAACAGAGGCTTATTTATAGTCATTTCTGTTGTGCACCATTTAGCAGAATTTTCGTTGGTGGCGGTCAAGGTGGTCCCCGCCTGCGATGCTTTCCATCAACATTTATAAATTATATTCAGTAAATTTGTATTGTGGGGCTTGTTTTACTCTTTTTTTAGTGTGCAGTCGGGTATTTTGTTTTTTTAATAATAATTTTTTTATTTATAACTTTTTAGCTGTTTTTATTTAACGAAAATGTTGTACGCATTCGGGCTGTATACTCGAGCATATCCCCCTCCGCACCGCGCCGCGCGCCGCATGCCAGGCCACGCCCTATCTTTTTGCTTGCTAACGCATGAGTTGCTTTGCGTTGACGCAGAATTAACATGTTCCCGTGGGAATTTTGAGAAAAAACGTATCCTATATTAATTACTCCCGTGATTGAAATGAATCTAATGATACCGCATACATATTTTTTTAAAGGGAAATTTAGAAAAAATATTATTATGTCTTTATCCCGTGGGACTTTTAGGATAAAATGTATCCTATGACACTCCCGTAATCAAGACAAATCTAACGATACCTCATACATCAAAATCCATCAAGCCGTTTAGGCTACAGGAGGTCACAAAGGAAAAGACATACATACATACTTACATACACTCGAAAAACATTACCCTCCTTCTTTGGCAGTCGGGTAAAAAGGGAGAACTTGTTTTTTTAAAAAAATAGAAGGATATAAATAAAAATAACACAATAAACAAAGTATAAAAATAATCACCGCTCCTCGATAGGGTATGCTTCACGGGTGGCAGGTGACTCCAACTTCCAAAGACCTTGACGCCCCCCTGAATATAATACCATGCCGCCTCTCCCGCGCCCCCCAAACGCCTCGCCTAGCCTCAACTACTAGAATGATACGTAATGGAATTAAAAGCGTTCAAAATTTTCCAAAAGACATTTTCATAAATATTTTCATCTTTACTTTCCGGTGTGGAATGATTAATCCAAGTATTAAAAATAATAATATCTTAATTTTCTCTTCGATACTATAGTTTACAAATACAAATTACAAATTGTTTAGATATTACCATTGTAGAGACAGATGTTTCTTGTGTGTAAAGGGAATATCTGGTCTGGCTTCGATCTTTTATTTGACAGAGAAAAATATCATCATCATCAGCCTGATGTCGTCCACTGTTGGACAAAGGCCTACCCCAATAGTACAGCACTGAGCTCGATGTTCAGCTCTTCTCATCCAACCACTGCCAGCCACCCTGCGGATGTCGTCAGTCCACCTAACAGGGGACAGATCACTATCACTTCATATTATAAAACAAAGTCACTTTCTCTGTCCCTATATTCCTATGTATGCTTAAATCTATAAAACTACGCAACGGATTTTGATGCGGTTTTTCATAGAAAGTGATTGAAGAGGAAGGTTTATACTATGTATTATAACATCCATGAAATAGTGGAGAAATTTTGTATCAGCATTGTATCCGTGCGAAGCCGGCCTCAATCGCTAATTTACTTTTACAAAATGGATTAATCATTCAACACCAGAGTTTACTCAAACAATATCAACCGTAATTAATAGTAGGTAACTATCGTAAGACATACTGAACTTATTAAAATAACGACTTACTCACGTTAATTAACTGAGAAAAGCTCGACTGGTTTCAAGTCACACCGGGACTCTTATACATGAGCAGCGTGCGCGTCGACGCGGCCGACTTCGCGACTTCCCGTTATGACTAAAAACTAATAGAGTTTTTCTAAAGTTTTTCTCAAGTGAGTGGCCCCCGGTTTCCGAAAGGCCAATCAATGTTAAAATCAATTTAATCTCTTGTCAACTCATCTGATTGGTTGACTGAATTATAAACAACCAATCAGAGGACTTGACATGAGATTTAACAGGAGATTAGTTAATTTTAGCGTTGACAAGCCTTTCAGAAACCGGGTGTAAGTCGTTATTTTGTAATAAACCGTTCTTATCTTGATCATGCATTCATCGTGTACTTGTCAAGTAATTAGATACTATTGATTGTATTCTTTTTAATTTCTTTCTCTAATGGCGGATCGAAGAGTTTTACATAGTCACATATATACCTACATATAATCTGCAGTTATTTGTACGTTAAACCACAATAGGCTTTTCTCCGGCGTCGTGGGTGCGTTTACAAACATACAATTTCACATACACATCACACGCAGACCTGGAATAACAAATTGTGGGTCACACAAAGAATTCAACCCTGGACACGTTGCTCGCACCGCGGAAACCGAGCAGTCAATCAAATTGAAGATTGATTCAGTCCAGCGATAGTAGCATTCGTTACACTAAATCGAATGGGTAATGAAGCCCTAACGTTTTGCAACCATTGGTCGTAGTAGCCAAACAACAACTGTCTCCGTAGGTACAGAATCTATAGGTATATTTATGTTTTTAAATTTGAATTGTATTGTGCAAAAGATCTTACAGATTAACACCCGGTTTCCGAAAGGCCGATCAATGTTAAAATCCATTTAATCTCTTGTCAAGTCATCTGATCGGTTGACTGAATTATCAAGAACCAATCAAATGACTTGACAAGAGATTTAACAGGAGATTTGTTAATTTTAGCGTTGACAAGCCTTTCAGAAACCGGGTGTTAGCCTTTGACTGCCAACAAAGAACTGTTGAAGGCAAATCCTCCGCTAACGGAGGTCACCGGTGACCTTCTTGGCGTTTAACGTGTTAAATTCAGTCGCTGTAATGTACAATCTGCTAAGTTACTTGGTATGCAGGATAGAAAATAACATTTATTGAGTACAGAGAGACAGTAACCATTGAATGGCTGCTAAACCGATCACTTGTAGCTTAAAGATTTAAAATACCTATGGCTTTGTTCAAAAGCATACAATTTAATATAATAATACTTACTGTGAAACTTCTGAGCATACTTGCAATTGAAGATAAAAGTAAATACAAAATAAACGAATCTGAAATATTATCAAAAAATGTAAATAGAACACGCAAAGTCAAAAGTCAAAAGTCAAAAATCATCAAAAACAAAACGTAACGTAATTGAATAACTAGTTATTCGTTATCCGTTATAACCTAATATAACCTCTTCAATCCGCCATCAACTAATTCTACTTATCTTCCAGTTAGTCCACGTACGTACTCATATCACTGTTGTCTTTTACACGCTCCTGTCGGATTTGGTTACATTTTATCGTTTGTATTAACTATTCACCATAACCTGCATCGCTGTATGCGTTATAAACGTTTTCCGCCAAAATAACGCTTAAATAACACTAAATAACACGTCTATAACGCAAAACATCACTTCAAAATAACAATTATTTACGTTTAACGTTATTCAACTGTTTTTTTTTAACTAAAAACGGTTGTTTTTCTAACGTAAATGATTGTGTTGTCGTACGAATATGCTTTGCACTGCTTTTTTTTATAATAGACATCAGCTAGAATGTTATTTAAAACGCAGAGGTCATTCTCTGTGCCGACTTCGAAAGATACCATCGGCCCACCAAGAGTAACGTGTTTTCCTACCGTTATTTTGTTATAACCTAGAATAACGTTTTGCGATAACTACTTAAACGTTAACGTTATTTTTTGGCAAGCTAAATTATTATTATCGTTATCGCAAAATAGTTATATTTGACCTTGTTTCCCCTAAAATTTTAACTCTTAATAGTTGCCCATTAGTTATCCCATACCCTGATCAATAACTTTAATCTGTTAGAAATTTAAACCTGCATGGTTTACCTTAATAATTGGCTATTCAAACTGACTGTACCGTTTACATTTCTGTGTTAAAATTGCGAGAAAAAAGTACTGTATGTAAGTAATTTGGGTAAAATTTTTCTTACCATGTTTATGTAACATCAAAGCATACATATTTCTCTTAAACCAAAGACGAAAATGTTTCAAATCAGCTAAAATGTTAAATCTACTTTCTCACAATTTTAACATAAACAAAAGAATATATATGTAGGTACTCGAACAACAACTATAATATCAATTACCATATATGAAGAAGTACCTATACAAAAACATAATTTGCTTAATAGAAAACAAAAAAAACATGTCTAAAAGTTAGGTACTATTTTTACAATTTAGGCATGTAAGTAGGTAATATTCTACATTTGTCAAAAGAGCAAGAAACCCTGACAATTTAAAAATTTTAAACGATCCTTTAAATGCTAGCTTTCCTACTGGCTAGACTATCGCCATTGGGAACTATGTTCACTGCTATTAAATTGGGTAGTTTCCCAGGTCAAAAATAAATTAATTCGACATTTCAATACAATAAAACATTGAAAAATAACTATACTTTTTTTCATCCATCGATCTATACACTAAGTTTTAGATATTTTTAGCTAATTATTATGAAATACGAAAGCATACATATTTGACGCATAAAATACTATGACGTCATAACTCAGTTTTTCATACAAATTTCATAGAAAAGTATTGTTTTTGACATTTGGATAAAAGTATTGAATTTGACTAGTTGGAAACTACCGTATTGCTGAAGTCTGTGTTTTCCGAAGAGTCTTCAAAATACGAATGAATCGGTTGCTTATGGGTAGGCATGCTCTTGTCGTTGATCGCCTACACCACGCGAGATAGTGACTGTATAATCTGCATTAAGCAAGCGTGGTGGTTAATGCTCAAACCTTCTCCGTGTGGGAAGAGGCCTTTGCTCAGCAGTGGGCACTTATGGGCTGATGATGATGATGATGATGAATCTGCCTTTGTAAGGGGCTCCGCACAAGGTCGTACACGCACTTAATGGACAGACTACCAACACGCTTACTGTCGCCAATGGGTCTTGTTTTTCCCGCGCTGTGCGAACGAAACTGTCACTGTCTGTGTGACATGAACTGAATGAATGACAGAACGACTGCTTGTACGAATAAATGAATGGATGAACAAATACATACACTACAGTGATCAAACGATGGCAACATTGCTAGAAAAATTCCCCACAATTAATACTACGTAAACGTAAACATTTCCACGTTTTTAATTTGCTTAGAATAAGATTAAGATTGACCTCTCGTCTGCTGGTATATGAGACACAATAGAAAACACAACCTCTCCTATCCTATCTGTGACATACTACGGGTTAAGTAGAACAAAAAAAATATCCACGATTGTCCTTTGCAACGTTACCAACGCGACAATAAACTTATAAGCTTATTTACACTTAGCACTACATATTGCACTCACACCTAAAATAATCAAACTTAAACTTAGCTAAACACTACCACAACACCACTGAAGAAACACAGCGTGCTTCTAGAAATAGCGTTAAAAAGAATTTAATAAAACTAAACAAAATTTAGATAATATAAAAAACCTAGATTTAAAAACAAACAATACCTACCTAGATTTTGCTTTTGATATTTTGTCCTATTGTATTTTTTTATATTGCGTCTCCCCCCTCCTACCCCTCGTCAAATGTCCAAAATGTGTGTTGTTTGCAGTGGTTTCGAAGTTTCTGAAGTACAAAAGAATATCAATGAATTATATTGGTAACCAGAATGCCCATCTTCCGAGCGAGAAAGAGGAATAGAGCTATACACCTTTCATAGCTCCATTCCTCTTTCTCGCCCAGATGATTGACGCTTTAACACGTCATGGTAGGCCTTGAGCTGATCTGGCCTGCCATATAAATTACTAGCTCTTACCTGCGACTCCGTTCGCATGGAATAGTGACTTCCTGCAGATTTTCGGGATAAAAACTATCTTATGTCCTTTATCGAGTTCCAACCTCTGTCTGTATCAAATTTCACAGAAATCGATTCAGTAGTTTAAGCGTGAAGAAAAGACAGACAGACAGAGTTACTTTCGCATTTATATATAATATTAGTATTATAATAATATTAGTTTGGATTAATTATTTAAAAAAATGTAAAGGTGGAACAACCCTTATCATTAAGGGGTAAAAAATAAAATGCTTATCAAATTCGGTAAAAATTTGTTAAGCCGTTTCGGAGGAGAAAGGTATCGGTATGGTTGCGGGGTAAGCGCATTGAGGCACCGTGACCTCGGCCCAGAGCAGGAGAAGGAACGGGGGCGTTTTAGTCAGTAAAAGTCTGACACTCCCTCCCGCCCTACCCTGGGCGGAGAAGTCATTGAATGATTTTCCGCTTACAAAAAAAAAAAATAGTTATCTAACCAACTCACTCGTAACTCCTCCGTTGTTGAGGGTCTCCATGGGTGGCGCCGATTGCTTACTATCAGGTAATCTGTCTGCTCGTTTGCCGTTCTCTCACGTAATAAAGACGTACATTCACGAAGCACTAGTTATTACCACAGCTAGAATTCTTTTTGGAAAATTGTATTATACACTTAAACCACAATAAAATATCACATTTTTTTCTATCGAAACTAGCTTTTGTTTTTGGCTTTGCTCTTTATTCCTTTGCTCTCAATGATACAAAGATCGGAAAGTGTGAGGTGGTAGCAAACGATCAAACAAGTCATGCTTTTCCACTAATGGATCGGAGTGATACCACCGCTTCACAGAAAACCGGCGTGTAACAACCGCGCGTCGTTTCGCTATGTGAGTGAGCTTACCGGAGGCCCATCCTGTCCCCGTGCCAATTTTTGTCGAACACTGCATTATTTCCGAATACCAATTTCTCAAATCCTCATATCCACACGTCCACACATCAATAAATTCCGGAATCCTGAAATCCAGAAATCCGGAATCCTCATATCCACACATCCACTAATTCCGAAATCCAGAAATCCAGAAATCCCTAATCCTTGTATACACACATTAACAAATTCCGAAATCCTGAAATCCCTAATCCTTATATCCACTAATTCAGAAATCCCTAATCCTCATATCCACACATTCACACATCCACAAATTACGGAATCCTGAAATCCGTAATCCTCATATCCAAACATCCCTACATACTCATCCACAAATTCAGAAATCCTGAAATCCAGAAATCCCTAATCCTCACATCTACACATCCACAAATTCCGAAATCCTGATATCCAGAAATCCCTAATCCTCACATCCACAAATTCCGAAATCCCGAAATCCCTAATCCTCATTTTTTCTCTTCCCTAAAGGGCTGGCCACTGAGAATTTTAGTCAGTGTTGCGGATATCCATGCTAGGTACAGATTTCTTACCAATACCATCAGATAGTCTGTAAATTTCTTTTATACATTCCATCTAAAGGTTGTCTGGAAGAAATCACCTTGTGTGATAAGACCGCCCATTGTAATCACAACATTCGGTCATTGTATCCAATGTATTGCTACTTGGTGTATGTGTGCAATAAAGTATATATAATATAATATAATAATAGTCTGTTAGCTCGTTCCAGCTCGATGTCACAAAAAAAACTTTTATGATTATAATTTTAATTTCGGTAACTTCTTCGCAAAAACTTCGAGACCACTACACTTAAATGTCCCTGTATTCAATGTGTCCATCTTTGGTGGCATCTATGGTAATATGTTGATGGTATATACAGGACAGTGAAGGTAGAGCGCATAGCATGCAGCACGGACCCACGGGAGAGTCAGCCAGGGAGCAAGGTGATGCTGACAGTGGATTCGATGTAAGTAGACCTAAAAGTGGCCCAACCTTCTCATCTCCTCAATTCTCAGTCCCTAAATCTATACTCACAAAAAGGCCGGTAATGCACTTGTAGTAATTCCTTTAGCGCCGGTCGTTTACCATCAGTTAATCCGTCTGCTCGTTTGCCGACCTATCCAAAAAAGAACACAATCTATATCTCTTCGTATTTTCTCTTTCTTCTTCTCGACAACAGTCAGTCATGCTCTGTGTCCCTTCAGTGTTTCGGTGTTTCGTGGTTGTATGTAGATACAACCATGAAAACACCATAGAATAGTTTATATCCTGCGTTAAAGGAGTTGTAGCGGTTTCGGGAGGAAGTGGCGAGCTTGTCCCTTATAAAAAAAACGGCCCAAAAGGACAGCAAAGTACTTGTAACTCATTTAGTTTTTCGGATGTTCATGGGCGGCGCCGTTTGCTTACTATCAGGTAATGCATCTGCTCATTTGGCGACCTATTTCATAAAAAATATGGCCAGCTCGATCGAAGACTGTGAAGACACTTGTACACCAACATACCACACCAGTTGTGTTTTGCTGTAAGAGCGATGCTACCGAAAGACCAAACCTTTCCTCCAATCTCATTACTCACCCCGGAATCCCCAATCCTCAAAAACCCTTGCCACAAAATGCCGTCATTGCACTTGTCACTCAATATTGAGGGTTTCCATGGTGACCTGCAAGCTCGTTTGCCGAAATCTCATGAACAAAAATCTTCTACTTTGTAGATGGTCGAGGATGATGGTCGTGGATCACCAGGCAGTACTGATGACACGGAACGACCGTCGTCCACCAAATCTGGAGATAGCGACTACCCTGAAACATCTACTAAGGTATTGTGCATTAACTTATAATTAAACTTATATTTGCGGATGGTTGCACGGTTGGCGCAGTGGCTGGGCAACTGGCTGCTGTGATCCACATCACACTTTGTGTCACACATAGTGTCACCTCAAGAAAGGCCTATCTAATACTGAAGTTAGGGGAATTGCTGTCTCAATATGTTTTGTTTTCATAAAATCTTGTTTGGATCCATAGCAAGCGTCGACAGACAAGGACACAAGTAGCCCGGAGAGTAACAGTCTGTTAGATCCCGCTGTACTCGGGGACTTTACGACCCAGGCCCTCGTGCTCACCGTGTTGGCTACGCTGGTCAAGTATACCACAGGTACGTGATTATGGACCCCCTGTAAAAATTCCAAGGTATTTTTTACTATTTTTTATGTGATAGGACAACAAATTAGGAGACGGGTTACCTGATGGTAAGCAATCGGCGCCATGAACAACGGAAGAGTTAGCTGTGTGATGCCAACAGTTTCGGGATAAGAGTATTAGGAATTTATTTAGGGATTGAGGAGGGTCTCACTTACACGGCGAAATACAAAGCTGTGGTTTTCTCACGCCGGTTTTCTGTGAGGCCGTGGTATCTCTCCGGTCGAAGCGATCCATTCGTGCCAAAGCATGGCTCTCCCACACTTATATGTATATCCCAAAATGTCCATGCCGTACTTATAACTGTGGTGTTGCAAAGTAACCATGGAGTTTCTTGTTCGTTCTTCTCTATAGGAATCTTCACTTTGGAACCAGCAAATAGCTTCACCAGAGGACTGACTGACAGACCAACACTTTTATATGAATTTTGATTGGGGTAGAGCCATGCTGCGGCACGAATAGGTCGGCTCGACTGCAGTGATACAATGGCCTCACAGAAAACTGGCGACAAACAATTTTATCTTTCCCCAATCCAAAAGTTTCCAAAACCACAATCCGCAATAGGTCGGCAACGTCCTTGGATCTCCTCCGTTGTTGCTTACCATCAGCTAATCTGTCGGCTTGTTGGCCTTCCTATCGCAAAAAAAAATCTTTGGTAGACATTCAATATTGCCTAGAATGGTCTTATTGAAATAAGTTTGACTTGGATGCGAGTGTCTATGGGCAACGCTGATTGCTTACCATCAGAGGATTCGCCTGCTCGTTCGCTGCCTTAAAAAGAGACTGTTTTTTTTTTCGATTTTTTAAGAATACCTATGTATTTGTTTCAGATGAAGACGAAATAAGAATTTTATACCAATATTTGGCTGAAGGATCCGTCGTTTTCCCAAAAGTGTTTCCAGTTATGTAAGTATTTATATTTTTATATTAAAATAGTTTTTTTTTGCTACTTTAGATCCGTATTAGGTTAATTTCTATTCTAGTGACAAGGGTCTTTAATTGTTAAAATGTTATCAAAATATGTGTTACACGTATAATAAACTATGTATAGTTCGGTCAAATACAGCATTAATGCACAATAGCATTTTATGTTTGGCACCAGTAATTTATAACAAAGTACCAAAAGAAATAAAGAATTTAAATATAAAACATTTTAAAGTGCACCTAAAAAATATTTGATTGATAGGTGCTACTATAATTTGACAGAATTTCTAACAGATTCCTAACATTATGACATTTTTATCCATCTGTTATTCAATTGGTTCCTTTAGGTTTTTCTTTGTGTTTATGTTGTAATATCTTTGTAATGCCATGTAAAAAAATCATTATATTAATTTTAATTAAGTTAATACATTTGTACGCTGTTAGCCACAGCAAAACATAAAGGTTATTGTACTCCTTTTAACATCCTACATTACAGCATATAAATATGTATCTTGTTCTGTATACTTGTGTTTTACAAATAAATTATCTTTATCTTATTATATTATCTTTACGTATTTATGAGCCTAGAAGTGAAACTTGTATATTGTCTATTGCCTATATTGTCTATGAATGGAACGTCTTGAATAAATTAGTCTTTTCAAAAACCGTCTACCGACATCTTGTATTATTAATATCTTTGAATTCACTATTAGTTTAGAAGAGCATAGACGGGGCCTTATAGGGCTGATGTTCAGCCGGGGTTGCGGGGTAAGCGCAATAAGGCATCGCGACCCCGACCTACAGCAGGAGTAGAAACGGGGGTTTATAGTCAGTAAGAGTCTGACACTCCTCGCCTTACCCTTTTTTTGTCAGGGGAAAATCATCAAATGACTCCTCCCGCCCAGGGTAAGGCGAGAAACCGGGGTTGCAGGTTAAGCGCAATGAGTCACCGCTGCCTCGGCCCAGAGCAGGAGAGTGACAGGGGGTTTTTTAAGTCAGTAAGAGTCTGACACTCTCTCTCGCCTAACCCTGGCAAGAAATAATTTCAAGATTTTCCCCTCTAATAAAAGGGTTTGGGGAGGTATGGGGGAGGGGAAAGAATGGGCATCCAGTAACCTCACTCACACGGCGAAACACAACACTGTTGAATTAAAACAAAATACTTTTTTTAATAAATCTATTGTATTCCGTTTACAGTCACAGTTTACTGGATATGAAGATCAATCATGTTCTGATGCACTGCCACGACCAGCTCATACTGAGCGCGGTGCAGAGCATTATACAGGTAATGTACTATTATCATTATATATTTATTTCACTACAGACTGTTGGCATCAGTGTAGAATAGGTATGTGGTGGTAGAATGGGTTTACTTACCACCGCCATTCTTCTCGTGGGTGCCACATACCCGACAGAAGGGCCACACTTTTAACAAAGGCTTAGATCGCAGAGCTCTCTCTCATAAATCAAAGTAATTTTATTTTTATCCACGAAGGAGTTAGCATAACATCTAAAATCCTCTTTGAGCAAGCGTGGTGATTAATACTCAAACCTTCTCCGTGTGAGAAGAAGCCTTTGCTCAGCAGTGGGTTCTTATAGTTGTATGTTCGTGTTCCTCATAATTGGCGTAACGAATATATTATTATACCTATGTATGTTTTAATTGTAATCATTTACTTTTGTAAACTGTGAAGAACCTATCAACAAATATTTTGTTATTTATTTAATTTTTCTTCACACGAAACAAGGCTTTAAGTCCGCCATTCAGACATGGCGGACTTAAAGCCTTAAGGCATTCTCTAACAAAGAAACACCCATATACGACCTTAACTATGCCAGAGCATAACTGCGGACGTCTCAGTTTTTACAATCCCTTATCCCTAGAAGGTCGGCAACGCACTCGTAAATCTCCAAATCCCTTATCCCTAAAAGGTCGGCAACGCACTCGTAACTCCTCCGTTGCGGGTGTCCATGGGCGGCGCTGATTGCTTACCATCAGGTAATCCGTCTGCTCGTTTGCCGACCAATTACATAAAAAAAAATCACGTAATTACGACGAAACTGAGGCGTTCCTGACTGTGGTCAAATAGACATAGGTTTAATTGGGTAGTAATGTAGTAATAGTTAAGTTCTAATGTATTCCTAAATTATGTATAATTAAACATAAATTATGAGTTAGTTATCTGAATAAAAATAAATAAATATTATTAAGGATGAATCATAGCATAACAGTAACTGAAAGTGACCGTAACGCCTGTGGTACAGATTCAATTCTTTACAGGCACCGTAATGTTGTTTACCTAGATCAATTAAAATGTAAGACCTAATGTAAGATATTTATGTACAAATGTAAATAAATAAAATTTGATTGATTGATTGATTGATCTAACAGTCAACCATAGGGCAGTACAGAGATATCTATAATACGGTTGGTGCGAAGCAAGGACACAGTGTCCTAGAACAAATATGAAAGGGAAATGAAAATGGAAGAAAGAAACACGATTCCTTACCACTCAGTAATACACATCGTAGAGAGAGTATACTTAAGTATAGTGAAGCTAATAGCGTATACAACGTGAGATAGAAAATGTCTTATGAGTACCTACACTAGCTTTTGCCCGCGACTCCGTTCGCGTGGAAAAGTGACTTCCTGCAGATTTTTGGTATAAAAACTATCCTATGTCCTTTCTCAAGTTCCAAACTAAATTTCACAGAAATCGGTTCAGTAGTTTAGGCGTGAAGAAAAGGCAGACAGACAGAGTTACTTTCGCATTTATAATATTAGTTTGGATTGTAGGTATGTACATTAAACGGCTCACTACGGGTTTTATAGCCAATTCTATCCTTTCACGGCATCACAGGGTCCCGGACCTTTGGAAGGCGTACGAGGAGCCGAAGCCAACTCGCAGAGGCCCGTTGAACAGTTTTAATCTAAATATCTACCAGTGAAAGAATTTTGGCAATCCGACCAGCGGTTCCAAAGATTACCCCCTACATACAAACTTACAAATTGTACCTCTTTATAATATTAGTATAAGTAGTATAAACATAAATAAATAAGCTGATGATGTGATATTTCAGAATATGATAGCAAGTGAAGACGCGAGCCAACAACAGTTGCATTACATGCAGAGCTGTGGCTTCGGAGGACTCTGGAGGTTCGCAGGACCTTTCACCAAGGTTAGTACTCAGGGAGGGCATGACATAAATATAGTACTTATGAGGGAAAACTTTTTGTAGTTTTTGTTCTATAGATTCTATGTGTATGTAGGTATTTCGGGTGGTGTCACTAAATATTTTTTCTTTCTTTCTAATCCCACGGCAATTAGGCACAAAAAAGGCTATAGTCAAACTGTGACTTTTTCATTACTATTATTCACAAGTCAGCAACAGAGTTCTCTTTTCAAATTATTGGTTGAGGTTACGCTTACATTTGCGCTAAAATGCCAGCCGCGAAAAGCTCAAAAAAAAGTAACATTATTTTTTAGTCTATGGCCGATGCGCGCGCAAACAAATACTGATGAATATTTTTTTTTATTCAAGTATTATTTTATTCAGAAGTGTGTTGAAAAACGTCGTATGATACACGTGTGTATTGATGATTAACGTCCTCGGCTCCTTAATCCGGATCAGCGGTAATCACCAACTTGACGCACCTGTACCTACCATTATGTACTATTACTTACCTATACCTACCTTTTTTATGGTATAAGTCGGCAAACGAACAGACGGATTATCTGATGGTAAGCAATCGGCGCCGCCCATGGACACCCGCAACACCAAAGGAGTTACGAGTGCGTTGCCGGCCTTTTGGAGATAGAGGTTGCGGATATAAGGATCGGGAAGGGGAAGGGGCAGGATTGGGCCTCCGGTAACCTCACTCACACGGCGAAACACAACGTTGTGGTTGTTTCACGACGGTATTCTGTGAGGCCGTGGTAGCACTCTGGTCGAGCCGACCCATTCGTGCCGAAACTTGGCTCTCCCACAATTATATAACTGTTTAAAGAAAACTCAGTTTCAGTTTTAATATTTTTTCTTAGAATCAATGCACAGCTGAAAGCAGTGAGCTCTTCGTGAACTGCTTGGAGGCTATGGTGGAGACCTGCCTTCCTGGTGGTGATGAGGCGCTCACCAGGGCTCCACCACCGGACCCTGACCACCCAGACCCGTGCGACCAGCATAGATACCCTGGTGAGTTGACACAGATATTTAAAGGTACGGAAAACCTGATGGTAAGCTACCAATGAAACAATGATTTTATTTTTGCAAATAGGCCATAAAACGGCACTTTTACACGTCAATTTATATGTGAAAAACTAGATGAAGCCGGCACTTCCTATCTGACTACTCTGAGAAGAAATGCCGAAACAAACTCAGAGGTCAGTCTCTTTTCAAGACCAGACAATGTAAAAATAACATAATGTGAGAGAACCGTGCGAGTTTCGCTGTCGTAAGATACCCACAACAGCAGCTCGCCGCCCGACCAGAACCAGACCCGAGCGTACGGCGCGTAGCGTTCCGCGCGCGCCTCAAAGAGCCAATAGACCACCACAGACGGGGCCCTATAGGGCTGATGTTCAGCCGGGGTGGAGGGGTAAGCGCAATGAGGTACCGCGACCTCGGCCCAGAGCAGGAGAAGGAATAGGGGGGTTTTTAGTCAGTAAGAGTCTGACACTAGGGGCGGGAGAAGTCATTTGATGATTTTCCCATCACAAACAAAAAAAAAATCCCTAAAAGGCCGGCAACGCACTCGTAACTCCTTTGATGTTGCGGGGGTGTCCATAGGCGGCGCTGATTGCTTACCTTTAGGCAAACCGTATGCTAACATAAAAAAGTCAAAGGTACAGGAGTCCAAGACAATCATTCATGTACCTGGGACGCGCCGGACTTCAGTGTTTTTTTTTTATGTAATAGGTCGGCAAACTAACAGACGGGTTACCTGATGGTAAGCAATCAGCGCTGCCCATGGGCACCGCAACGAAGGAGTTACGAGTGCGTTGCTGACCTTTTAGGGATAAGGGATTTGGAGATTTAGGGATTGGGGGAGGGGAGGGATTAGGCATCCGGTAACCTCACTCGCACGGCAAAACACAACGCTGTGGTTGTTTCACGCCGGTTTTCTGTGAGGCCGTGGTATCACTCCGGTCGAGCCGACCCATTCGTGCCGAAGCATGACTCTCCCACACTTAGAAAGATATCCACAACACCACCGGCTTTACAAAAAAATACTTAATTCTATACGTGTGTTTCTATGTTATAAACAAGTTAATAGATTTGTTCGCAGGCGTACACCGGCAGGCGACGTTGTACTGCGCGCCTCAAGACACCTAGCAGCAGGACGACGAGTAAATACGGGGCAATCGTATTTACTTGTAAGTATATTTAGATACTTGTAAGTTTATATTACGCTGTAACCCGGAGGTTATGGCGCCCGATTCTCATACAAGAGGCTTCGAAACCTGGCAAGTACCAATGTGACTATTTCCGAGTTATATGTTGGTACTTTCTATGATTATTTAGACACCACTGATATACGGTAAAGGCAAACATCGTGAGGAAACCTGGACTTGTAATTTCTTATTGTAAAGAATCTAATTTCAAAAAAAGATTCTCATTTCCTTCACTACAATCAACAACAAATTATTAAAAAAAAAATTTCTTCATTTTCAGGTTAAAGAAAATGTTGACGTAATTTGAACCCTAAGAAGGGAATATATAGTACAAGCAACAGGTAACCCCTATACATATATACAGAAGGATTTATCAATCAAGAATTTGTTATCAATCTATCAATCGAACGTTTGTTCGTCAATCTATCAATCAAACATTAGTAATCAGGGTTTTTTTTGTACTTTCTGCCGACAGACGGCGCTTCGTATGCGTCTGGTCCAAACAGCTGACACATAGCTTAAATTCTTAACGATTTTTTAAGGAAATTTTATGTGTTAATGATTTTATTATGGATTACGGCCAAAGAAAGATTGTCAAACAGGATTGAGCTCAAAAAGAGAGTATGTTTATTGTGTCTGTAACATTTTGGAAAACAATATTCCGATCATAAAGTTATTAGACATAAATAAACCAAAAAATTACCGAAATATATTAATTGGATATGTGTTTTGTCAGTTGATTGGACCTAAAGTTACAGAGCTGCCATCTCTCGGGCGACCTTCAGAAAACCTTCATTGGATGTTTGACAAAAAGTCAAATTGAATGCATTTTTTCTCAATGGACAGTTTTCTATGTATTGTGTCAGAGATAGATACAGTACCTAGGACGTTATTACCATTTGTAATTTTGCCATAAATAATGCCATTTAAATGTAGTAAAAATTAGCTCCCATAAATTTTTGGTGTGTTAGATAGGTATAGATTGTAATACGTGTAAAGAAATTATAAATGTCAACCTAACTAGGGTTTGGAACCCAGATTATACTTAGATCAATATGAAAGCCTCCAAAAGATTTAATATTAGCTGAAAAAAAAACAATTGATTCTAAATTTTCGATTTATTGAGCAGTGTAGAAGTTGCATTATTAAAGATAAAAATAGGGCGCACAATATATATTAAGTATATTTAGAATATGATTGTATGAATTAAAAAAATATATAAGTAATATAAATATAGCTAACAAATGAACTATAGTCGGAATTTTAATTCCATTCCAGATTTGTCAATTTCAGTGTTGCAACGTTATGACACGTACTAAATAGTGACGTTGCGAAATTATTCGATATGGAAACCGAATATTTCTGAATCGATTCCTCTCGTTTATAAATTTACTCTCTTAAACTAAGATTATCAGGAAATAAAATATTTTTGAACCGACAATTTAGTTTTGACAATTAATTAACGATCTGAGACTTTTCTTTTGTAATTGTGTGTTAAATTAATAAAAAATGTGATCATGAACATGACAAATAAAACAGACATTTCATAAATTGTCACGGCCATCGCTAACGCTATCGCTGTTACTTTCTGTAACATTTATTATGAATTGTGTCTGTGATATTTATTGTCAAACAACATGGGATACGCATTTAGACCATTCGGTAGTTCTGATTCACTGATTGTTTATCGATTTTTGTGTTCATCACTACACTGTTATATGTGGTATCATTATTTCACAAAATGACAGTAGCTCATGTCAAATTAGGAATCGAATTAAAATTCTGACTATAGACAGCTGTAAAGGAAAACATCGTGAGGAATTCTGGACTTATAATGTCTAATTATAAGATTGAAATTGCTAATCTGCCTTTAGCAAGCGTACGGAACTATTGACTCACCCCGGCTTCGTACTGGTGCAATATTGATACTACCTAAATTTCTCCACTACCTAATGGATGTTATGACTACATAGTATAAAACAAAGTCGCTTTCTCTGTCCCTATATCCCTATGTACGCTTAAATCTTCAAAACTACGCAACGGATTTTGAAGCGGTTTTGTTTTGTAATAGATTGATTGAAGAGGAAGGTTTATATGTATAATAACATCCATTAAATTAATTTGGCGACATTGTTTTTACTATGTAGTGATATTTAGGTATACCTTCTCCGTGTGAGAAGAGGCTTTTACACAGCAGTGGGCACTTAATACACTAGTGAACGCTGGAGTTTCCTCAAGATTATAATGATCAATGCTAAAACATTTTTCGGACAAACAGTTTTATGGATCTATGGAACAATCACAGGCTTATAAAATAACAGATCACCCCGAAATTATGCTTTAAGTGTACCTAATAGTTTTGTAAATAGATTTTTAGATACAATTTTGAATTTGGTAGTAAATAGGTAGTTACTTATAGATAGGGTATAAAGCGTAAGTTTGTTTCGTTATTCGATTCATCTGGTATACAGGTAAGAATATACAGATTAACCTCAGTACAGATGCAGAAAGGGCGCGTCAGAAACAGTGATAATCAAGGTCTGAACTGGGAAAATACAGTTCTAAAAAACTCGGTCACAATACGGTAGTTTCCAACTAGTCAAATTCAAAACTTTTATTGAAATGTCAAAAACTATTCTTTTTAATGAATTTTGTATGGGACCGAAATATTTGATGGTATCTGTTTTTACGTCAAACAAAATACTTGTTTTTTAACAAGTCTAAAAGAAAAAATCTATAATTAAATATATCGTCATTCATAATTCATTGTATTTGAAAGTAAAATTATTTATTTTTGAACAAGAATTTTCAACATTTATTTTTGAACATCCGATTTGAATAGTGAAAAGAAGAATACTATTCAAATCGGATGTTCCTTGGAAGAAATCTGATGACGGATGACAGATATACCTAGAGCGTAAACTACCATAAAATAGTTCTAAACTAACAAACAAACAGACAGACAAACCATATCTAAAAAAACATCAAATGATTTCTCCCACACTGCTTAGGGCGAGAGGGAGTAACTGACTAAAAATCACCCCGTTCTTTCTCCTGCTCTGGGCCCCGCTAATTAATGCGCTTCGCCCGCAACTATGGCTGAATATTTTTACGGCTTCAGAGTTGACGTAGTGTAAAAGCAATCTAAATATTATTACTTTGTTAATAAGCATAAAATTTGATTGAACATTAGCTGCAGTCTCTTGGTAAAGAGCTTGGCTGATTGTATTTTATTAAAATGACAAGTTAACTTTAAAAGAAAAAGATAGAAAAGAGGTCTTGCAATCCTACTTACGTAGGTACTCGATTTTGTTCCGGGAACGAACTCGGGATCCGAAAAAGTATCGGATGAGAGCAACGGTTTCTTCCCAAATGAAAAATTGGAAGAAGTTAACATACATTGTAGGAAATTATAGGGAAAAAACACGCCATGTAGATAGGAATAATTGAATTATGTATTTGTATATTAAAATAAGTTTTAAGCCCCAGGGAAAATAAGATTTTGAATAATATTTTTTAAGTAATTACACGAATTTTTTTTTGTTTGTTTTTAGCGTAATGGCTTTGTCTATAGATAATAGATGAGAATGAATGAATGAATGAATGTATATATCAGAAGAGTGACATTTGACATTCTACTGTGTCTGTCAACTCCAATGTTGATTTTAGTTTTGTTAATAGAAATCGTAGTTCCATTTCAAAGTTCTTTAGCGCATTTTCAATATTATTGTATTTATGACTAAATTGAAAAATCAAAGATATTTTAAAGTTGATTTGCCAACAAAATTGACCATTCAAAAATGAAAAAATAATTTAATTTTTAGTTTTACTGTTGTGTGTGAATGAGTGAATGAATGATTGTGAAGTGAATGAATTTATTTTAAAATGTTGTTTTTTTTCGAGTAAATTTTTGCTTTTACTAGTTAGGTGTGTATTAAATTTTTATGGAAAAAAGTAGTTTTCCTGAATTTATGTAAATATAAGTTCCTAAAAGCTTGATGTGGGTATAAATTGCACCTGAAATATTTAAAAAATATTTGATGTTTAATGTCATTTGATGTTTTAATATTCTAGGCCTAAAACTAGATTTTAAAATAGTCTTTAAGATATCTAAATTGATTTGGTTTATATAAATGTTCACAATTATTATGATGTGTTGTCCGACTAAGGCTAAGCCAAAAATGAAGGATAGGTTTATAAAATTATATGTTTACTCAATTGTATAATTTCTTTTTTACACAATTTATATAAATCA